GGCATAAAAATCTCTAAGATGATTAAAAGACTTCTATAAAGATACGACATGAAGTAACGTACTAACATGTAACAACAACAACAACCCAGTGAATTCTCACAAGTGGCGGGGAGGATAGGATGTACGCAGCATTACGACTATGTTTGATAGACCCTCAACTAATAGTAACGAACTAACATGACAAACATATTCTCAACGGAGTAATTGGTATGATCACAAGCATAGGATCTTATAAAGAAAATTAAGAATGTGACCTGATCAGGCTGAGCAACATCAGAAAAGATGACATCCACCATACCAACCAACATTCTGTATCTTGCAGGGTGCCTAGCATCTTCAATTATGGGAATAACATTTCTTCTGTTCTTGGCCATGTTCAACAAGTCCCTTCCACTCCTGTTTGAGAATTCAACAGCATACACCACTCCCCTCTACCAATAGAGCAAATACTATACAGTATAACAATTCACAACTCAATTATAATACTATACAGTATTAGTAATAATATAAGAAATCATTAAACATCTATAGCTTACTGGTCCAACTATGTCAGAGACATGAGAAACAGAAGTTCCAGAAGCAGCTCCCAAGTATAGAACACGGTTTCCAGGTTTCTTGAAGAAAGAAAAGAACATTGTTTGGCTCAAAAGTTATCGATATACTTTGCAAGCTTAAAAACAATCAAAAGTAAGAAAGGGTAAATCGTAATCAGATATAATAAACCTAGAGATGAAAAATGAAGTTGTTGTTGTAGATCTAATAGTGATAATATGAACTCCAGAGAAAGTATTCGTTAGAGATAGCGATAGAGAGAAAGTATGAGAAAATGAGAGAGTTGTATTATTTCAGAATTCTCCCCTTTTACAATGTGAAGGTCTCCCTTATATAATAAGAGACCTTCCTCGAAATAATAAAAAAGTTACAAAAATAGGTAACGTTTTCCTAGTGAAGACACTGAGTCCTAAACGATGTCGCTTTTGTCCCCACGTCCAAGTCGTACCCTTACGTTAGTCGGCGTATACTCACTGGGCGTACCCATTGGTGTAGAGACGCTGACGGTCAAATTTGACCCTATACAAACATAATATTAACTGACTAAACAGCTTGGGGAAAATATAAAGTAGAGCATATATATGATTGGAAAATAAATAAATAAATAAATAAAAAGGCAGCCCGGTGTACAAGGTAGGGCCGGGGAGGGTCGCACCCCAAGGGATGTGATGTAGACACCGATCCTACCCTAACGCAAGCATTAGTGGCTACTTACACGGCTCGAACCCGTTTACACGGAGACAATTTTTACCGTTGCTCCAAGGCTCCCCTTCTAGAGCATATGATGTAAGAATATTAATAATTTTGTTGAACGTAATTCCATGAAACAAATATATACTCACAATCCAAGTATCATCTATGCCACACAAGACTGCAGCGCACAATTTTGAACGGTATGGATTCCAAACTCTATACTCAACCTTTGTTCCATCTTCACTCTGGTGAATGCAAAAGTAAATTAATCAAACATTGAGGATTTTCAACTTCATTCTATAAACTGAACTAGAGGAAATTAAGATGGAATAACTAGGTAGGAACCTGAACAGATATGCGTTTCTCATTGTAAACAGTAACACCAGGTACCAAGTTTTTGGTGACAAGAGCATCCTCTTTTGATTTGGCTAAAAATATACCTTCATGCCTGTGAGGAATGATCACCACATTCCTACCACCTCTCATTCCTCCTCCGCCACGACCACCACCACCGCCTCTTCCTCTACCCCTTCCCCTTCCGCCAATGCCACCTCGACCACCACCACGACCAGCCCCACGTCCAATACCATGACCACCACCACGTCCACCACCACCTCTGCCTCTTGTAGCATTGGAGTGGTTACGTCCATTGAAGCCTCCTCTACCGCCACGTCCACGACCTGAGGTCAAGCAATAAATAATCCAAAACACAAATTACAACAACAACGAAAGACCCAGTGTAATCCCACAAAGTGGAGGCTTGGGGAAGGTGGAGTGTAGGCAGACCTTACCCTTAAGGTAGAGACACAAATTAAAGATAAAACTATTCAAAAAATATGAAAAACTATTTTTGACACAACTCAGAGATATATATAGTGAAAAGTACGTATTGATTTAATACACAATATTGACAAGTACATACCCATTGGAGCTCTCATTGTTAAGAGAGAAAAGAAAGAAAAAAGTTTGTGTTCTGTGTTAAGAGTGGAGATTGTAAAGAAGTTGAGAGGTGGATTTTGATTTCACAGGGTGATAATAGGGTTTTATAGGGAGGTAGATATTAGGGTTTTGGGTTGCACAAAGCCATAATGACGTGAAAGCCAAGTAACGTCAATTAAGGAAAATAAGGTATACGAACTGTTTACCATATTGGTTTTTATTAAGAAACGGTGTCGTCGCAAGGGGAGAAATAAACGCAAGACAAAATAAAGGAAAAAGAAAGAAGAAGAGAAATAAATAACAAAAATATTCCGACCTGCCGGATTCGAACCAGCGACCTAAGGATTTCAGCTAGCAAACTACAGTCCTCCGCTCTACCAACTGAGCTAAGGTCGGGTTGTGCCATCACCATTCATTACAACGCTATGTCTCTTATTCAATCAAATATGGGTAAACGAAATACTCCCCTCGTTTCAATTTAGATGAGCTAATTTGATTCGGATGGAGTTTAAGAGAAAAAAAGACTTTTGAAACTTTGTGGTCTTAAAATTTTAAGGGTAAAAGCTTTGTGGGACAATGACATTTGTGTGGTTATAAAAGCTTTTCATTAAAGGTTAAATGAGTAAAATGAAGAGTTTAAAATTCTATTATTTTCAAATTTAAAAATATGTCATTTATTTTGGAACAGCTAAAAAGGAAAGTACCTCATCTAATTTGATACAGAGGGAGTAACACATCAATTTATAACAGAAAAGTTATTTAACTTGATAAAATATACGTATATAATGATTACTAATTTTTCAAGAAATTATTACCTTATACACTTTGCTATAGTTTAAAATATGGGTGTCAATAGTTCGGCTCGATCTGTTATTTTATAAAATTTGTACCTTACCAATTTTTCGATTATTCTATTATGTATAACCTAAATTAGACTTTTCGAAACCGTCCCAATCATATCGGTTTCTCTTCGATATCGGTACGGTTCGATTAATTTTCGGTATTTTTTAAATATCATGTGAAATTCACGATTACAAGTAGAATACAATAACATATGTTGTTTTATAGGACTTAGAGCCCGTTTGGCTTAGCTGATTTAGAATAGCTGATAAGCATTAGGCGCTGAAAAGCACTTTTAAGTGCTGAAGCTCATTTAAAAAATAAACAGTTACGTGTTTGGATAAAAGTGCTGAAATTAATAATATGCAGCTGAAGAACTGGATATACGAAAAGTTTTGTTTTAAAAAGAAGTATTTTAGGGATAGAATAGTAAATATATTGGTCAAACTTAAAGTGCTTATAAGTTGAAATTTGATAAGTTGGGGGAGACCAACTTATGACTTTTGGCTTATTTTTGGCTTATAAGCACTTAACTTATAAGCACTTTTGATTTTACCAAACGCGTAGATAAGCCAATAAGTGCTTATAAGCCGGTTTGACTCTCTAGACATTTCTTAGCAAAACTCTCTAGACATTTTTACTGTTTAAAAGGTAATGAATTAAAAAATAAAAATAAAAGATGGCTAGAATATAGATCCATCAAATATTCTACTACAACATAAAAGAAACCAAACAAAGGCAAAGAAAAATAAATCACACGAGTTGAAAGATATTAACCAAGCTGGGGCTCAAGAACAAAGTCTATAGAATATTAAATATTCAAAAAGATAAATCTAAATTATATAAAAGGAAGCATATTCGATACATTGTAGTTTGCTACTCGTAATCGCTAGAATACTTTATGTCTTGCTAATAAAAATACTTGAAATAACTTAGTTTAAGTAGAAGTAACATAATAGGTTTTAGGAATTAGTATTTTGAGTTTAATTACTTGTTGACTTGTAACAGTTTTCATAATTCCAAGGCCCAAAGAAAAATTTAATGCATTATTATTTTTAAACTTACTAGATAAAAATATTTTCCACATGTAAAATTTATTGGGTACGGTTCGGTATTTTTCCGGTTTATTTTTATAAAATAAAAAACCTACCCTAAATATCGGTGTGGTTATAGATTTATATAAAAACCTACGGTTTCCTAAAAAGAAACCTAAAAATCGGTTCGGTGCGGTACGGTTCAATCGGTTTTCGAATATCCATTGACACCCATAGATTAAAATATACACCAGTTTACCAGCATCACTGAATCAGGAAATTGATTCGATATATAAATCGTATAATTATTAGTAATTACTATTTACAGTTCCCTCATTATGAATTGCCAAATAAAGGTGAGAGGGAGAGCACGAGAAATATAAAGCAAATCAAGTAAAAAAAGATAATTGGCAAAATTAGTCACTTATAACTCAAAGTTCTTAGACCTCTTGCTACAAATTTTAACCTATTATATTTTTGTTAACTACTTCCCATCTAATTTTTCACTAGAATATAAAGTTGGCCTTCATCGTCAAAATATGGAAAAAGGACTAATTTTAATTGTCTGTGCTATTAGTCAAATGCATGAAACACAGTAGTACTAATACTTTTCCAGGAAAATTACTTTGTTGTCAGATAATAACTTACACCTATCACAGTAAAGTAAGATATACATATGTTTGCATCAATGCAAGATGTGTACTCTATCATGAACCTAATTAGCATTTTGGAGAAAAAGAAAATAAGTATATTTACAATATTCACAACTTTTTAAGTATTTAAACTCATTACAGCTAAACTGGCTTTGTACTAATATTCAGGGACCAGGGTGCATATTTTGATAATCATCAACACTGCAAGTCTGTAACTTCATAAATAAATACTATATTTTGGTCAGTTTGGAGTTCAAATCTTTTGCGCCCCACATGGCCAACAGCAAAATAACTCAAAAACAAAAAACAGCAAAATAACTGCATCTCTATCGGAGGATAGAGAATAATGGAGTACACGTATAACAAATCCAGAAGCAGAAAAGGTTGTACAATATAGCACCACAAGAAGCATAACCTCAACTAAATGGATTACTCATACACATTTTCATTTCATCATCATAACCTAACCCAAACACTACTAAGAAATGCCTACATACAAACTAACTAATGATTCAATAAAGTACAGAAAGAAAGTTTTCCCTAACTATGTTAGATCTCTGTCAACGAATACTTCTCCCGAAGAGAGCTCACGAGTTCTGCAGCAGTCGAAGCTGTTAACTATACTAGTAATGAACTAAACGTTCTATACCATACCGAGCAGATCCAGCAGGGCTTATCAGCTAGTCCTTTTCCTTTTAAAGACAGGACGAATGGCTTTTTTTCTTGACTGTAGTTTGTCAATCCTTGCCATACATTCCTTCCTCTTGTTCAATACGATAGGCAAGGCGGATCCAATACTTGATATCTTCTGTTTAAGGAGCTGCACTTTCTCAGCTTGTTTCTGCATCTCTTCAGCTAAGGCAGCACCACGTCGACTAGGACCTTCAACATCTATGACAGTGAGCAGGATATTAATTATAAAGAAAACGATTCTGTAAATCCACAAGTTTACTGACGTATCAACACAAGGACATCGATCTTTGCATGTATCCAGTTAAGATATTTTTTAAGGCTCCTATTAATGACAAAGTTAAGACCTTAAAAAGGAAACTGTTATTAAAGTGCAATTAACTCCTAATGACTCTATGAACATGTCTCTGGCCTCATAGCTCTCAAGCAAAAGTAAGCAATCGTTCTTTTTAAAGGTAAAGCATAAGTAAGTACTCATATTGAACTGAAAGAAGATTGTGTGATTCCTCTTTCCTTTTTATTACAGTAGAGATCCCACATTGAAATCGTCAACAATTGTTCAACGGTTACAGGTATGTCACTCCTATGTATAACAGCATCTCTATATAACAACCATTCACTATAAAAGCCAAGTTTTTCTCGGAACTAATTTTTATGTTATGTTATAAAGTCAGACCTCTCTATAACAGCCTCATTTGTTCCAATATTTTTTGGCTGCTATAGTGAAATGCTGTTATAAAGCACATATTAAAACATAACATAAAAATCGGTTCCGAGAAAAACTTGATTTTTATAGTGAATGGTTGTTATATAGAGATGCTATAGAGAGGTCTGATTGTAATATGTATTTTATAACAGCACTTCACTATAGCAGCCAAAAAATATCCGAACAAACGAGGTTGTTATAGAGAGATTTGACCGCATCTCGGGCTTACACTTTTCCGGGAATCACGACAAAAAGCTTATTAGGTATCTATCCAAGTAGTGGAACCAAATAATTATCTTGTTGATTTTGGGCTTAATGTTCTTCATATATAACATGAGCTAATTTTTCTTAAGGTCTGCGTTTTGCGCTTCCTAATGTTCTTCGTATAATACATGAGCTTATTTTTCTTAAGGTCTGTGTGATCTTTTACCACTACCCCTATAATATTGTTTCAGAATTTTATCGTCCAACTTAAAACAGTTAACAAGGAAATCTTCCAGATAAGAAGCGCCTCTATTTTTAAGAGGGGGAGAACTTCACTCCGCCAAAAGTTGACGATCAAAAGAGACAAATATCTAGGGATGGTTGATTATTTCTAAAGGTACTGGTCCAAAATAATTGAAAAGGAGAAAGGGTTTATCAATTGCAGGGACAACCAGGGCACACCATACAAAAAGAAGGAAAAGCACATCAGGAAATGCAACCTTGTTCTGAAAAAATTACAGACAGTTAAAAAAACTACTTCCACTATTATCAAGAGGTACTGAAATAATAAAACAGCACGTACTCCTGCTAAGATAATGCGAAGACCATTTATTTAGTAACAAACCCTTCAACATTTATGAAAAGGGAAAAACGAAGAGGAAAACAAGTCACTTAACAAAAGACTGTTGCAAAGGAGACTTATCTCCAGATAGTTTTGCACCCCTGCATTATGATGGAACCTGGTCGTAAACCATATTACAAACTTCATAATTTTTTTAAAAATTATTATGTTTAAACTTCCCTTTCATCCTTAGCTTATATTGTTGGGGGAGGCGGGAGAAGTAGTTGTTTTTACTAATCTCTTTTTATAACCATTTTACATGCGGCGTTTGTTAGTGTGATATGGTTTTATGTTTGCACAGAATTTCAATTAAGACGGCAATACTCTTTTTTTCAATCATCGTGAACTCCAGAATATGAGAATAATGGAAAATTCATGTTCATATAATAGCTTAACTCGATAGGTCAAGCTAAACCACAAACTATCCTTCAGTACACCACAATAGGTACATGGCTTAAGCTGCTTAACTAGTTTGGTGGCCTCGATAACACTTTACCTTCTCAAGAAAAAGTTTGGTGGCCTCGATATATCAACCTAGAACCACACACTAACCTTCTATACAATAACATAGGTGACATGAATAACTAGTTTGGGTGCTTCAGGCCTGCATCCTACAGCAGAGTACTAGATTCGACATAAGAAAGCAAGACTGAGCTCTCACTTCAATGGAGAAGCCTATGACACACCACAGTAGTTCACAGCACTGCAAGTTCACTGATGTGTTAACCAACTAATAGAAGGCCTAAGTGAATAGAGAAAGAAGTTCCAAGTGTTAAGATAGAAGGACTCCTTTTTACCATAATGTATGAGTTTCAAAGCATGACGTGGGTCCAAATTCAATGTCCACAATATGATGTCACCCCAAGTCTTCTATCTACCTATGACCTCCTCAAAGGCTCAAACTCAGTGTAGAATATTTATACAGCGTGTGGACTCCCCGCTGACACGAAATTTTGACAACTTCCCTTGGATCAATATAGCTTGCATAATAATAAGATGATATCTAAAAAGTTTATCTATAAGAGATGGGTTTTTAGTTTATACTGAACTAGGATCGACAAATTTCTTTCTTTATAAGGTAAGGATAGACAATTTCATATTCGCAAGGAAACACTAGATCCTCTTTCAATTAATTGCACCATTCTCTACAATGTGCTTCTAAGACAGTTTGATAGTCGTGGTCTTCTTTAATTCTGAAATTACTTCATATGTAAAAAATGGAGAAAAGCATCAAGGGTGCAACCCAGCAGTTGATAAGACTGCTGGGGACCAAGGTTCAAATCCTAGAACAAACAAAAAAGGCAGAAGCTGCAAGTTGGCATTTTCTCATAACTGATGCTAGAAATGGAAAATTTTGAGCAACTATAGGAGTGAAATAATAATGGAGTTCAGCTTTTACTTTTTTGTTTCTATTTTTTTGTATATCACACAAAAATGTGATTCAAGAATGTTTGAAAGTGCATATCTTAATAAGAGAATACGGGTCATACAAGGAATTAACTCTAAGAATTTTTAACTATTGCACTCTATACGTCATTTCATTACAACACTAAATATATTACCGTTTAATAACACTGCGAATCTAAAAAAATATATATGCCAATGGATTAGAAAAAGAGAAACCAAGAAACATACCGGAGATGAGTGGGTCACTGGAGCGGTCAGGCTGAGATTCGGATCCCCCATAAGAAACGGGTCTTTGAGCAACATGAAGGGAAGCGAGAGTAGTTTTAAGCTGATGTGGAAGTGTGGTTCTGAGCTCCAAAACTCTCTCAGCTGTTTGGTTAACTCTTTCTTCCAATTCTCTTACTTCTTCTTCCAGTTGCCTTTCTGCTTCATCTACCTCCAATTCGTTGACTCGGGATTCTACCTGATTTTGCTGCTGTTGCGCTCTGCTCGTTTCCATTACTTACTGGAGAGAGAGGGGGAGGGAAAGAATGGAGGATAGAGAGTGAAGTGAAAATTTTGAATGTTGAAAAACAAAAAGAAAACTAGAATAGTTAGAGGTCCACTTTGTAAGCCGCACTTTTGAGGAATACAATGTTAAGGGGTTGTTTGGTATGAACACAAGTTATGCTAGTCATGTTGGGATTAGTTATATTGAGATGAGTTATGATGACAACAACAACAACAACAACAACAACGACCCAGTATAATCCCACAAGTGGGGTCTCTGAGTTATGATGAAATTAGTTATGTTAAACTATTTCTTATTGATTATTTGGTATGTTGTACTCCCTCCGTTCTAGTTTATGTGAACCTATTTCCTTTTTGGTCTGTTCCAAAAAGAACGACCCCTTTCTAAATTTGGAAATAATTTAGCTTAAACTTCCAATTCTACCCTTAATGAGAAGCTTTTATAACCACACAAATATCCTGGGCCACCTTTTGACTTGTTTAGGACCACGAATTCCAAAAGTCTTCATTTCTTCTTAAACTTCGTGTCCAGTCAAACAGGTTCACATAAATTGGAACGGGAGTATTAATTTTAGTATTGTCAATTTTACTGTGTTTATCCTGAGATTACTATTCCATCCTATGGCACATATAATTCAAGATTAATAACTAAACAAGGGCTAAGAGCCTAAGACAATACTAAAGTTTTATCTCACAATTATTTTTGTTTATCCATCATATCAAATGACCCCTACGGGATGTACTTCGTTAAAAAATTTTCAAAGGAGGAGCTGGAAATAATTAGTGAGACCAGCCTTTACCAAGACCGGCCTCACCTAGAAACTCATCTGGTTTTTCTTCCCTATCATTCCCCCCCCCCCCCCCCCCCGTTTTTTTTTTTGTTGTAAGCCTTCAGATCTTGTTTCACAACCCTAAGTTCTTCATGAATATCACTTCCATAGTCATCGGAAAGTCCAAATTCAGATTCAGATGAAGTATTGGAATTTTCTACATCACTACTAACAATATTTTCTGCCTGTAAATCACCATTGACAGCATCTTCTCCTTGTATATCATCACTGGCAGCATTGACAGCATCTTCTCCTAGATCTAGATCTATAGTTGGTGTTGCAGTAATTACTGGTGGTTGGGGATTAAAAATAGGGCCACATTCCCTGCTGCCCCCATTTACATTTGTTAATTCACTACAACCTCCTTCCCCACCGGTCACGTGTTGATTAATAGGCCCCACATCCTCAAAATTAGTCATTGCAGACAAGAATATCTATTGTGTCCCCATCATTTAACAATACTCCAAGGTCTAATAAATCCCTGTCTTGTTTTAACTCTACCACTTTGCCACCCTTAGAAGCTACAATATAAGTTGTCCCTAACTTTTTAATTCCAAAATCTATAGCAATATCTACTAGTTCTGGGATAGACAGGTGATCAAAGTCAATGTTGAAGGAATAGTAAATCCTACCCCCAACAAACAGTGGCCCTACTTCACTCACCAACATCCCCCAAGTTTCCATCTAAAATTAAAGTATTTAGAAGCCATTGGACAACCTACATCCACATACACAATTCATCAAGTCTTAATTAATTCATAGTTGCATGAAAACATAAGCTTTAACAAAAAGCAGAAACAAAAAATGGAGAAATACTCAACATTTAAAGAGAACATCTAAAGTTAACAGTAAAACAAGAGAAACAACTAAAATAATATAAAATGCAAGTACTATACATATAAAACCTTCACTTTAACAGAGAAATATTTTAATATGTTTTGTTATAAATTGAAATGGCAGAAAAAGCCCTACTCTGTCTCCAAAATAACTCAAAAATTCCAAAATATATACATGTAGACAACCCTAAATATAAAAATAAAAAAATCCCTAAATTTTGTTACTTATAACAGAAAAACCTTAAGTGCATGCATGCACAAAATCAAGTGTTGTAGATATAAAGATTTCAATTTTAAAGGCTCTAATTCATCTTCATTTAAGATTGAATCATTATCGAGATTCAACTCTATCATATTTCAACCCTAATCATAAAATCAAGTTTCAAACACTAACCTTTAGATATGTCCACTTGAAGTACGGAGAAGACTGCTGAGAAGCACTTGAAAATTGGAGAAGAAATCGCAGATAATCGGCAAACAACCACACTTTGGGATCCTTTTCACTAGATTGGAAGCTACCCACACTGATTCAACTCCAAATCTAACTAAAGATGACTGAGAAATCACCTAAACTCATTTATCATAAATTTCTACACTAGAACCCTAAGATTTCTATGTAAATCGAAAGGAAATCTCAGGGAAAATGGGGGAAATATTGAGAGGATTTGAGAGAAAGTTCGAGAGAGAGAGAGAGAGAGAGTGATGAGAGGAGTACTGTTGGGAGAAAAATGATCGACTATTCCTAATATTTTACTTTAATTCCTTTTTTTCTTTTGATTTATGTATATAAAGTGGGCGTTTGGACATAAGAATTGTAAAATTTCAAAAAAAAAAAAAATTCAAAAAAAATATTCAGTGAAAAAGGATCTTTGAAAATTGGAGTTGTATTTGCACGTGAATATTGTTTTGGGTTGTTTTTGAAGTTTTACGAGTGAAATTTTTTGAAAAATAGCTTTTTGGTATTTTTTAAATTTTTGAAAAATTTGAAAATTTATTTTCAAGTAAAAGTTGAAAATTCTATGGCCAAACACTGATTTTGAAAAAAGTGAAAATTTTTCGAAAAAAAGTGAATTTTATTTATGTCCAAACGGGCTCAAAATAAAATAATATTTTCTTTGTCCTGCGTGGAACACACATAAGATACAATTTCCAACACGGAAAACGTGTGTATGTACTGAATTAAGCTATACGAGCTCGGGGGATTTCTAAATTCATATAATCAAGTGAAGGGGTAATTAGGACCGGGCATAGTTCGGGGAGGACACTAATAATTCGAGCCAAATTTAAGGGTGGTTTAAGGTATTTTCTCATAGTTAGAGGTCCACTTTGTAAGCCGCGGTCTTGAGGTATAAACGTTAAGGGATTGTTTGGTTTGAACACAAGTTATGCTAGTCATGTTGGGATTAGTTATATTGAGATAAATTACGATGAAATTAGTTATATTTAAACTATTTCTTATTGATTATTTGGTATGTTATATTAATTTTGGTATTGTCAATTTTACTATTTTATCTTGAGATTACTATTCCATCCTCTAGCACATATAATTCAAGATTAATAACTAAACAAGAGATAAGACAGTACTAAATTTTTATCTCAAAATTATTTTTGTTTATTCATCATATCAAACAACCCCCAAGGGGTGTACTTCGTTCAAAATTTTTGAAATGAGGAGCTGAAGATAATTAGGGGAGGAGTTGTTTTGCTGAAATGGCCTTAATGGAAATTTAACTTTTCCTAACAACAGTCTGGGTGGTGTAGTTGGTTATCACGCTAGTCTCACACACTAGAGGTCCCCGGTTCGAACCCGGGCTCAGACATTAATTTTTTTGCCTTCACGACAATATGCATGTAACACATTTACTGGCATGCTTATATAGTTATATTAGTTGATTTCTGATTTTGTTAATATTATGATTTCTACCAAAGTTTCTCACATAAGCTAGGAGAGGAAGTCATGAAGTGTGGAGGATAAAACTCAAAACTGCTACAAGAATATGATACAGTATTATGTTCTTTCATCTAAAGTTCCAGGGTTGAACAACCCGATTCATATTGTATCACCAAAAATATGAAAGTTGAGTTTTTCAATCTAAGGCTGAAATAGTAGGAGACAGGCAGCTATTGTAACACCAGAGTATTAACAGCCAAAAATACAATCTTCTCCTCGAAAAGAGAGACCGCGAGCTGAAAAATGCTTCCTGAGTTATGTCTCTTCTACTATATAACAAAGACTATCATGCTTCTCATGAGGTTATACACAAGATGATACATGCTTTTGTATATGTGGGTGCATTCTGTAAGCCAATTTTGAAGTCATTGAATATAGAAGTTGTACTTCAAGTGTTCTATTTTTCTAGAATAAATACTTTCTACCAACTCTATATTTACACATTTGGGATAGAAATAAGTCATGTATTGGGAGCCCCTCTTTCTGTACAGTAGCTGAAGTTATGATAGAGAAAACGCTCTATAAACATACTTCAGTCTTTCGTTTAAGTCGTAGTACTTCCTATTATCCTATGAGGTTGGCCAACCATTTTGAGAATGTTCACTGAAACGTCTCTTTCTTTTGGCATTTAATCTTTCTTGAATCTGCTTTTCGTTTGCCATTGCTTCTTGGATGTTGTCGCGAACAAGCTGACAGAGTTCATCAAGTGCAAGCATTGGAAATGGCTCCTCAATAAGGACACCAACCTGCAAAAATGGACATCCTAGTTTTGGTCAAATGTGAATTAACTGATATTAGTTGTCATCCTCTACGCCCCTCCCCTTGTCCAGAAGGTTACTAACCAAGCTGTGACCTCGGTATTGGACAGTGTCAACGCTCCAATCAAATAGAAATCTTCAACTGTATTTCTCTCCTCTTTATTTTTATTATTTTACCTTTTGGGGGTATTTCAAATTGAAAACCAAGGTTACAGTATCATGAACTCCTGAAGCCTCGGACAATTGATCAGATACTCTATGTAATAAGACCATTAAGTTTAGCACTCATATATAGCACTTCAAATTGAAGATGATATCAGCTGGAATGCCCCACAAGCTGAAACTTAAGATAAATAATAATATGTTCGTTTCATGAGGGGAGCTTTGGGGGGGGGGGGGGGGAGTGTTCATCCGAAATTACAGTGTATATAAGATCAAATTTGTTTTTATGTACATCTTTGGATGATGAATCCCCTTGGATTCTTCGCATGTTTACTTTTTTTATTTTTAAAGATCAAATTTGTTTTTATGTACATCTTTAGATGATGAATCCCCTTGGATTCTTCGCATGTTTACTTTTTTTATTTTTTAACCCCCTTGGTGAAAATCCTGCCTCTGCTATTGTACATATTGAAGAGTACAGCAGTTCAAGCTGTGACATTTTAATAGAGTCCTGCCTTCAGACAAAGTGATCTCTACTGCAGGAAGTAATTATATCACAAAGTATTAGTTCCTCTGGTTAATTGAAGAAAGTGAAATCTGACCTCTTCAATGCAGAATAAGGAAGCAGCACTTATGAAAGTAGCTGGAACCACAATCCAATGGCAATCATCCCAAAGTATTATAGGAAGAGTGAGATGCCAAAGCACCAAGAACCTTGAAGTCAACCGAGTGTATGAAAGCGGAATAGGTATGCCCGCGAGTTGTTCGCATACACCAATACCTTCATGGAAACAAGAAATCTTTGACTCCTGCACTTTTTAAAACCACGAGTCATTAGGTCCAACTAGGGGTGGCAAAATGGTTAAAAGAAAACAGTTAAACACCCATATTATCCACTAAAAAATGGGTTGGATAATGAACTTTTTAAAAACGGGTCAAATATGGATAAGCCTCAAATTGGGGGTTCCTCAAGTTAGGGAGACTAAGAATTCTCCCAAAAGTGATCATGTGCAAGAAGTCATGGATATTACCCATATTATCCGCCGGTTAACCCGTTCTTTATCCGTATTAAATATGGGTCGGGTCGAATAATTAATCCGTTTTTCATTACCCGTTTTCGACCCGAACCATAACCGACCCAACCCGCCCGTTTGCCACTCCTAGGTCTAACACTCAAGATTATCCTGCAAGTGACGAAATCAATGTGATTTAGCAAGTGAAGCTCCTTATTAAAGAGATTTTTATGGTCGCCGCTTACATTGGTCTTCTAATACACCAAAAGGGAAGAAAAAGAATTAAAGCTGAAATAATAAGATGTAAGATGTAACCATTGTGTAGCCTTTCTACTTCATAAAAGAGTACATCTTCGTTAAGAAAAATTACCAGCTGAGTCAGCTTTGTTCCCTCCAAGTTTAATGACTGAAGGCACTGAGAGATGAACCCAATGACGCAACGAGGGCGATGCTTAGAACTGAGAACTAATGCTAGATCATCAGCCTCAAGTAAGTTTTTGAGATCACTTGCTATATCCGAGCCATATGTTATGTGGCACTGCATAAAAGTATTGTAATCTTAGTGTTTAATACTAAGGATCATTATCCCTTTGCTTATCATAGAACATATATTTTGCTTTTAAGTGCATTAGAACATATAGAATAAGATTTATCAATATATAGGTTGGCAATGAGCTCAAAATACCAGCTGTTCCATGTTTAAAAAGTAAAATAAGGATTTAAAGGTTCTACAATTTTAAGGTCATTTCAGTTAATATACAACAACAATACTGTGATAGAAGGACTTTTGACGCAGTTTGAGAAAGTTTCTTTTAATTATCAATGAACGATGCAGAGACCAGGTTAAATCATCAAAACAAGGAGGAATACACATAGGCCATTTGGATTTTGATAAAGCCTATACTTAGGCCATTGCAATTTCGAAAATGATTCACTTAGCTCTTTTAGGCTATTATCCAGTTAATAATACATTCTAAACTATCTGATCATTGCATTAGCCAGCAGATAGCAGACTATTCCAATTTCACTTGTATTTAGGAATTTATCCTAAGTTTTGTTCTCTCTTTTTTTTTTCTATTCGTGACAGAACAAGATGCAGAAATACCAAAGTTCTCCATTTATCACAATGATCTATGAATTTCTCTCCTACGCAGATTGCAGGGACATACTGTAAACCCATAGAAAGAATCATCAACAACAACTATGTCTCAGTCCCGAACAAAGTTGGGGTCGGCGATATGAATCCTTACTTCTTTCTTTAAGCTCAAGCGATATGAATCCTTACTTCTTTCTTTAAGCTCAATCCATATCACCATCATGCCAAAATAAAATAAGAAAAATAGTAATATTAAAGCCTATTCCTAACTAGTAAGTATCACCTACATGGATATTTTTCTTCCATTGTGCCTTATCTTTAGCTAAGTCTGCATTGATTCCAAGAATTTGTAGGTCTTTCGAGACAACTTCTTTCCATGTGATGTTAGGTTTACCTCGTCCCCTTATAACCCCAGAGCAAGAATGAATGAGCATAATTGAAGGCCTCATATAAAAAGGTATGGTATGTATGCACAGACCATAGTGAGCTAAATTGATTAACTATACGAACATATATACCTTCAAGGCAACTGGAAATGCCATGATATACTGCAAAAGTGCTTCTTTGAGCACAGCATCACTCTTATCAACACAAGCAATGACCTGCCTAGCAAAATCATTGGTTCCAGCAATTACTTTAGTCCAAGCCTTCTTCCCTGTTTCAAACCTCGAGTACGATGCCTCTGTCCTAAACACCAAAAGAAGCGCTAGAGCTGGAGCTGTCAACTGATAAGGCAGTGGACTAGCTCTCAAGACAGGG